ATGAAAGGAAGGGGAAGCCAGGCCCAGCGCCAAGCAGGCAATTCCCTACAGGAATGATGCTGGGACAAGCCCCTACGGGAGTGATTCCACCAACGCTGTCCAGCTCCGAACCCTCCAGCTTTGCAGAGCCGGCGATGCCCCAGCTCAGTGTAGAAACGTGCAGGGCTTGAGATGAATAACGCATTATTTCAGAAATAATTCATTGTAATAATGTATTTCCATTCTGCCAGGAGACAACGCGAAGGAGCCAGACTGCCTGTTAGACAGACGCGGAGGAGTTGCTGCGTGATAACTAATGAAACAGTTTAAAAACCCTCACACACCCCATCCCCGAGAGGCTTGTTATTTCAGAATGAAGCGGGTAAGCCACAGCGTTTTTCCTTTTCCGTGCTTTCCTGAAAGGCAGGACCCACGCACATAGCTGGCCACGGGTGTGCTGGGAGGTCACACAGAGACCCAGGGTCGCAGCCCCACTGCCAGCGTGGCTCAGCAGTTCTGCTCCAGCACACTCAGTGCCAGGATGGTTTCCCCGGTGCAGAGCCTATCCTTACAGCCTCTGACCCCAGTGGAGCCATTGGCGTTGGATCCTGGCCAAAACCCCAGCGTGGGGATGGCAGAGGGGAGCGGTGGGTGCACCATGTGCTCCGGCTGTGGTGTTGCTTTGCCTGCCGAAGTGAGGTGGGACGGGGCGTCCCCAAAGCATCCTCGCCTGTGCCGGGGCTTTCCCCAAGTCCTGGGCTTGCTGCTGCTCACTCACCGTGAGCTCCCAGTACTCTTCTCGTGCTCTCCCACAACAGGGAGACCTTGTCCTGAACCGAACGTCCCGCCGGGTGGAAGCAGGAACTGCTCCTGGCTGGAGACAGGACCTCACCAGCGACAGGTCTCCCACAGCACTCGCTTTCTCAAGAAGATCATAGGATGCAAACTCTGCACCAGCACAAGCAGGGAGGCAGTGCGCCAGGGCGGCTTTGGGGATCTGCAGCCACGCGGGGTTGCAGCTGGAGCCGGGCTAGAGGTGGCACTTCCTCCCACCCTGACTGCTCTTCTTCCCCCTGCACAGAAATGGCAGCAAAAAAGCAAAGTACACCAGAGTGTTAAGAGTACAACAGAACTTTATTATATGAATTACTATTAAACATCTTTAAGAAAAAATCACTTATGGAAATAAATTCTAAAATAGCATCACTCACAAATGTCACAATTTGTTTGTTTTGTTCTTTTTAAACCATTTTGTATAGAAGTAATACAAACATCACTGAGAATTGTACATTTTCATGTCAGAAACGCAGTGTGGCTTCCAAGCCAGTTTTAGTGGCCTTTCTACTCATTAGACCTGATTTTTCTTTTTCTTTAAAGGACACCAAAAAAAAAAAAAATAACTCTTCACGCTCCATCAAAATGATGCTTTGTGCCTCCGAGGTGTTTTGAAATGGCCACTGAGTGACATCATTCAGGGAGGCTTTGCCTAGCGTAGGATATTTAAGGGCAAGTTGTTAGACTGTGTTAGCAAAGACCCCCCGCGCACACTGCCCCCCAGCCCTGCGTGCTCGCCAGCGCCGTGCCCACTTCGGGCACAGGACCTGGGGCAGTTGGCACCCACCCCACACACCACCCTGGCAGACAGGGCAGGCAGAGCCAGCAAGGCCGGGGGCTTCGCACCCACCGCCGGCACGGTGACTGCTGTCCCCACGGCCCCCAGCTCTCAGCCCCCAGGCTCGTCTTCCTCGCCCCGTTTTCTGACAGGGCTCAGCCCTGCTCCCCGCAGGCTGCCCTGTGCAGGGTCCATCGGGTGCCAGGGAGCGGCGGACACCGACG